TCACCCTCTTTTTCTTAATTGTCCCTCCTCCATTGACATAAATTCACTGACCCCTAAGGTTCCTATCTAATCTTTTTAGTTGCTGTTGTCAGTTTGATCCCATATAGATAGTTCTCTAAAGAGCACAATATTCAAAACATTCTTTACCTGTTAAGCTAGACTATTATTTGATTTTAAGAAGACTCGAGAGGATATTTTTGGTTTAAGGTTTTGAGATTATTTCGGGGCAGTAGTTTCAGGGATTCTTCCAGCCTCCATGGCTCCTGAAAGTCTGGAGTCTGTGAGAATTTGAATATCTGTTTTGCATTTCCTTCATTTTGATCAGGATTCTTCTGTAGAATTTTTGATCAAAACATTTAGTAATGGTAGCAGGGCACCATCCAGTTCTGGTCTCATGGCAAAGGAGGCTGTTGTTCATAGAGGCTTGTAAGCAGCCATCCAAGGTACAATAATTGGCCTCTCTCTCTCTCTCTCTTTTTTAATGACAATTTGATAAGCAAAAATGAAAAAAAAAATTGCTATCTTCTTTTAATTTGAATTTCTGTTTTTATCAACACCATTTAGTATCTTTCCATAAGTTTCTTGGTCACTTATTTTTATTCCTTCTAAATTCTGTTTATGATTCCTGCCCACTTTTCTTTTGTTCTTTTACTGCCCTTTTTCCCATGGCCTTCCTTTCTCCAAGAATGCTATATCAAACTTCTCCAATTCCCGTTCCAAAGCCAAATGAGATCTCGCCTTCCTCTTGATTCTGAAGGCACTTTCTTCTATTTTCTATGACACTCGGCATACTCTTTCTTGTCCTTTAGTTGCCAACATAGATAGCATGCTTCCATTCTTTCTCTACACTGCCTTCTCCACAAATACCTACAGTTTATTCCTTTGCCTCTGTCCTCACCCAATGATTATGAGCTTATATGAAGTCCATGACAATGTATATATCTCTCTGTGCAGCACTGATAGTCAGAATATTTAGCAAGTGACAAAGCATGGACCCCGAACAACCTTCCGTGGACCGATCAGAAAGGACTCTGGCTAAGAACAACTAGTAAGCCCATACAAGCAATACTGGCTGAAAATCAGCCTGCCTCTGGTTTGTTGTTGTTGTTAGTTGCTGTCACGTCAGCTTCAACTCATGGTGACTCCATGTACAACAGAATGAAACATTGCCCAGTCTTGTACCATCTTTATGATCATTGGAATATTTGGGTCCATTGTCAGCTGTTGTGTGGTGCCTTCCAACTTAGCTGCTCATCTTCCGGCACTATTTCAGACAATATTCTGTTGTGATCCATAGGGTTTTCATTGGCTGATTTTCAGAAGAAGACCACCAGGTCTTTCTCCTTAGTCTATCTTAGTCTGGAAGTGTCACTGAAAACTATCCACCCTGAGTGACCCTCCTGGTATTTGAAATACCAGTGGCATAACTTCCAGCATCACAGCAGTACGTAAGTTACCACAGTACAGCTAACCGACAGACAGGTGGTAGTGCCCCTGGGTAAGCTTACAGTAATTACTCATTGTTTTAATCCCTCGTTATCCCCAGTAATATTCCTTGTTCTTGAATTATTTTATTCCAGTCCTATAAAGGTAATAGGTTCTTCTATTGCACTGTCCTCATTCTACCAATTAGAAAACCGAGCCCCAGAGATGCTGTTACTTGGGAAGTTTTCACAGTGAGTCAGCAGCAGAAAGCAAACTGGAAGCAAGGTCTCCAGTCTCCTGCTTTTGTACTTTTTCCTCTGTCTTCCTCTGTCTTTTAAAAATGTATAAACATTTGTTAAGCACAGGCCAGTACTTACCAAATGTCTGACAAAACATTTGTAAAAGATCCATGGGATATTAAGATCAGCTCTAAAATAATGATGTATCATGCTAATGATTATTTTATGGCTATAAAAAGGACTTGTGATATCTTCATTTTATGTGCAGCCTCCACCAGGTAACGAACCAAAATGCTCAGGTAAGACTTCAGGCACAGAGTTTTCCATAAACACAAACCAAAACCCGTTGCTGTTGAGTTGATTCTGACTCATAGCGGCCCTAGAGGACAGAGTAGAACTGCTGCATAGGGTTTCTAAAGAGCAGCTGGTGGATTCAAACTGCCCACCTTCTGGTTAGCAGCCGTAGCTCTTAACCCCTTGGCCACCAGGACGCCACCATAAATAACAGCATCAGAGAAATAAAATTCACTGTAGTCACTGGAATAAAACTACTTGGGTTCAAATTCCTGATTCCACCACACTGAAACTGTAGGAAAGTAACTTAACCTCTCTGTGCATCAATTTTCTTATCAGAAACTTACCTCTTGCTTATGAAGAGGTGAGGTAATCCACATAAAGCATGTAGCATAATACCCAGTGCATAAGATGTATTCAATAAATTATTACTATTGTGAAAACGGTCAAATTTGGGATTGTATATATTTCGTTAATGAGATCTTTTGTCAACAGTAATTATGTTATTAATATGAATATAATAATAGTTTTATATATATATTACAAATAAAAAAAGTAAATAACATTGGCCCCATTTTACAGATGAAGTAACTGAGGCCTAATGTAGTGATACATATTGCTCAAGACCAGGCTTATATCCTGACTCCAACAGGATACTTGTTGCTTGTTGTGTGACATTAGGAAAATAACCTTTCTGTGACTGTTTCCTCATCTGCAAAATGAAGACCATACTAGTATTGTCTTAGTTTCTTATGACTACTGAAACAAAATACCACAAAGTGAGTGGCTTTAAGGAGCAGAAAGTTATTGTCTCTCAGTTCTGGAGGCTAGAAGTCTGAATTCAGGGCATTGACAGGGTTCTGCTCCTCTTTCTCTGATGGCTCAAGGGGAAGATCTTTCCTTGTCTCTTTCAGCTTCTGGCAGCCCCAAGTATTTCTTGGAGTTCCTAGTCTTTCCCCTGTGTGTGTTTCTGTTTCCATGTCTATTCCCCTCTTTTATAAGACACCACTCAGAAGGCACTGTGATTAGGACCCACCCTACTCTGGTATGACCTCTTTTAACTTAAGTGGTAACAACAACAACAAAACCAAACCTGTTGCCCTTGAGTTGATTTTGACTCATAGCAACCCATAGACAGGGTAGAACTGCCCCCATAGAGTTTCCAAGGCTGTAAACTTTATGGAAACAAATCACCACATCTTTCTCCCACGGAGCGGCTGGTAAGTAGGAACTACTGACCTTTCAGTTAGCAGCCGAGCGCTTAACCAGTGTGCCACCAGGGCTCCTTACTGATAACAAAAGAAAAACCTTATTTCCAAACAGGGTCACATTCACTGATGTAGGAGCTAAGACATATCTTTCCAGGGGACATGATTCAATCCATAACAAATGCCTACCTCGTAAGGTTGTTGTGAGGTGGTAAATGAGTCAATATAATGCTCACAACATTGACACACTCATAGGAAGGGCTCAGTACATGGTATTTGTTATCATTGATGTTAACTATAAGGTCCCTGGGTAGCACAAATGGTTTGAGCTAGACTGCTTACCAAAAGGTTGACGGTTCAAACCCACCCAATGGCACTGTAGAAGAAAGAAAAGTGATCTGCTTCTGTAAAGATTACAGCCAAGAAAATCCATGGAGCAGTTCTAATTTGTAACACATTGGGTCACCATGTTGGAATCGACTTGATGGCAACAAGTTTGTTTTTTGGTTTTATATCATCACTATTATTGCTCAAGATCTGGGAAGTGGCAGAGCTGAAATCTTTAAAATATTATTTACTGCTAGCTCTTGGAGCCTTGGTGGCGCAGTGGTTAAGAGTTCTACTGCTAATCAAAAGGTTGGCAGTTCGAATCCACCAGCCGCTCCTTGGAACCCCTATGGGGCAGTTCTATTCTGTCCTATGAGTCAGAATTGACTCAACAGCAATGAATTTGATTTGGTTTTTCTTGAATACGAAGCTTATTTTTGGACAATCTCATTCAGCCAGCTTTCTTGGTGAGTATCATGTGGTGCACTATGCCAGCCCTGGTGGTATAGTGGTTAAGAACTCGGCTGCTAACCAAAAGGCTGGCAGTTTGAATCCACCAGCTGCTCCTTGGAAACCCTATGGGGCAGTTCTACTCTGTCCTATAGGGTCACTATGAGTTGGAATTGACTAGATGACAACAGGAGAATAGACTTTACAGTTAATAACAATGATAAATACCATATACTGAGCCCTTCCTATGAGTGTGTCAATGTTGTGAGCATTATATTGACTTATTTAATGCCTCACAACAACCTTATAAGGTAGGCATTTGTTATGGATTGAATTGTGTCCCCCAAAAAGATATGTTCTAGCCCCTACATCAGTGAATGTGACCTTGTTTGGAAATAAGGTTTTTTGTTTTTTGACACTTGGTTTGGAGTCCTTGCATGGCGCAAATAGTCAATACACTCAGCTGCTAACTGAAAGGTTGGGGGTTCAGGTCCACCCAGAGTCACCTCAGAAGAAAGACCTGGTGATCTACTTCCAAAAAAACCAGCCATTGAAAACCCTATGGAGCACAGTTCTACTCTAAGACACATAGGGTCTCCATGAGTTAGAATCGACTAAAAGACAACTGTTTTTTGTTTTGTTTTTTATCCTTCGCTTAAATACAGCTGTATATCTCTTGTATCAACAATTCACTGCTTCCACCATAAATCACTAAAAGGACTTTTTTAACCAGATTTTTTGAGGAAGAATTAAAATGCAGAAAACAGATCTCCATCCATAAATAAAGGTCCATCCATGAATAAAGGGAACTGTAGTGGGTTTGTAGTAAATATGGACATATGATTAGAGAAGTAGTCCTAGGAAATGAGGACTTGAGAGAGAGTGGAAGCAAAATAAATACTTGTTGAATGAATGAATAAATGAAATGCATGAGTACATTAGGTACAAATTTTCTTTACAGACTTTTTTTAAGACAGTAAAGGATTTCAGTTTCTTACACAGAGGTAATTTGAGCTTTTAGTCTCAACCATACCAGCAATGTTTCTTTTACCTTCAGGACTTAAGAGACCGCCTGTGGGACATTTGTGATGCCCGGAAGGAAGAGGCAGAACAGCAGCGTCTTGATATCATTAATGAGAGCTGGTTACAGGACTCTATTGGAATATCAATGAACCATTTCTTTTCACTCATGCAGGTAAGACCAGCAGGTCAGGATGACACAGACTCTTCCTGACACAGCCGGTTTTCTCATGTAACAACTCCTTTGGAAATATTGGTACATTTAGTACTTCTCTTGCTCATCACATTCTGCCTGGCATGAGCTCCAGCTTGCCAAGGAAATTAAGGGAAAGAAATAATTCTTATCTGGGCTCAAAAGCACCAGAACTAGGAGCATCCAAGCAACTACTCACCAGCTTTGCCTGCAGATGGCCTAGAGAGATGGTGTCTACAACTGGGGTATTCACCTTATCAGCCTCTCAAAGCAGACACCCAAAGGTGGCCAGCCAAAGCCCAGGAAAGCAGCCCTGCTTCAAAGCCATGAGCAAGATCAAACCCATCATGGCTTTAGTTCCCAAAAAATAAAATGTTTCTGTCTGTATTGGAAAAAGCAGGCCATTAATCAGAAGAACCCGATTAACTTCTATTTGCACCCATGTCTACATGAGTATTTTTTCCTAAGAGAATAGCAGTGGAATAGAGAATAGGAAAAGGTACTTTTCTAGGTTTCAGTTGATTAACTTACATGAAAAGATACTACAGGAAATGAGTCTCTGGCAATTCCAAGAGCTTGTGCATAGTAGGTTCTCAATAAATGCTTCATCAAAAAATGACCAATAAATTCTAGTATTTCTAACATTCAAAGGGATAAGCCCATGGTGCAGTGGCATATTGGATCACAGGAGGCCTGAAAAGTCAGCAGAAACTTGGGGGGCAGGAGCAGCCACAATGACTACTAGCTCTGGGATCCAAGTGGGAGTATTAAGGAAGTCAGGATCCTAAGACAAGGAAGACCTATTGAGGCATGTTAGGAGTCTGGATTGGGAAGAGAAGATGGAATCAGAAATAGTTGACTTAAAGCAGAGGACAAAACTAAGGCATAACCAGGAAACAGCCAGATCTACAATTCCTGGGTTGTGCAAAGGATTAAAGTGAGAGGCCCAAGCAGCCTAAACCAGTCTAGGTCACCACTATGGACATGCAGAGATCAAATGTTGGGAACAAGTGTGTCAAAAACTTACGGGCTCAACAACAAAAAAGGTAAACAACTCAATTAAAAAATGGGCAAAGAACCTGAATAGACATTTCTCCAGAGAAGATATATAAATGGCTAACAAGCACATGAAAAGGTCTTCAATATCATTGGTCAGGATGGCTATAATCAAGAAAACAGAAGATAAGTGTTGTCAAGGTTGTGCAGAAATGGAAACCCTCGTGCGTTGTTGGTTGGAATGTAAAATACTGTGGAAAACAGTTTGACAGTGCCTCAAAAAGTTCAACAGAATTCCATATGACCCAGCAATTCCACTCCTATGTTTATACCCAAAAGAATTGAAAACTAGTATTCAAACAAATACATTACACACATGTTACTATGCAGATTGTTGGTTGCCAGGGGTTGAAAGGAAGGAGCAATGGGAAGCAACTGCTTAATGGGCATAGGGTGTCCTTTTGGAATGATGAAACATTTTGAAACTAGATAGAGATGGTCATTGCCCAACATTGTGAATGTACTAATAACCACTGAATTGTTACTTTAAAATTATTAAATTTTATCTTACAAATTTTGCCTCAATTTAAAAACAAAACAAACAAAAAAATAATATAGTCGTAAAAGCTGAAATCCAATAGTGAAGGCTCTGAGAATAGAGATTTTAGTGAATCCTTCTCAAGATTCAAGCAATATATGCCTCTTTTGGAAATAGTCTATTACAGCTCAGAAATACCTAGATTTTGTGCTCTGATCCTGAGAAACTGTACTGAGGTCTAACGCCAACTAGGAAAAGATAAGATACAGGGATGGTAGTGAATAAACGCTAACATTTATTAAATAGTTACTTTGTAAGTGTACATGTCAGGCACCGTTTTAAGGATTTTGCATGTATGAACACATTAAACCTATGCTGTTCAACAACCCTGTGCTGTAAATTCCATTATTATCCTCATCTGTGAGGCAAGTGTGGGTGATTGCCCAATCACACAGTTAGTAAATGGCAGAGCTAAGGTTTGGACTGAGGAAGTCTAACCCCAAAGCTGAAAATCCTAATCACTGCTTAATCATCAGTGTTGTTCAAATAATTGAAGGCTTGCCATGTATAACAGAAAAGAGCCTTATTCTGCACTGCTCAGTAGAATCCTGACGGAAATTACAGGAGGGTAGTTTTCAGTTCAATATATGAAGGAAGCACCTAATGATTAGAACTGTTCATCAAATAATAGGCATTTGAGTCAATGAACTTCTTGTCTTGGAAGCTCATAAACAGAAGCTTGCATGTGTTTGTGGAAGGGTGATGGAAAGAACCCTCATGTAAGTCTTCACAGGCCTGTTAGACAGCTAGATAAGTTTTCCCAACACGAGTTCTATGGAATTCTAGTCCTACAAAATGTTTCACAAAACAAGAGCTAGTTCTGTGATCAAATGAGTTTGAGAAGGGCTATGTAGTTCTACCCCTCACTCCCTGGGAGACTGACCATAAATATTGGCATATTAAGACATCAAGATGTCTTGCAATGGAGAAACCCTTTTGGTATGTTAACCCAGTATTTCTGAAACTATTTGTCCTTGAGAAAGTTTTGTTTGCTTGTTTGTTTTATCCCCAACAAGGTACTCATTAACAGCCTATCAAAACAAACAAACAAACCCATTGTCACTGAGTCAATTCCGACTCATAGCACCATTTAGGACAGCGTAGAGCTGCCCCATAGGGTTTCCAAGGAGTGGCTGGTGGATTCAAACTGCCTACCTTTTGGTTATCAGCCAAGCTCTTAACCACTGAGCCACCAGGGCTCCTAACAGCCTATAGCACAATAATTTTAGAAAAATGCTATGCTCGATGTTTTCTAAGATTCATTTCAGTTCTAAGATTCTGTGACAATTAAGAAAAATAGTAACAAAGCATTATTTATAAGTTATCATAATGAGAAAGGAATCTTGGTTGACACTGCTCATATGAGAGCCCTGGATATACTCTGATGTCTTACTTGATTTAGCTTTATTATGAATCACTTTAATCTATTTAAGAAATGATGCTGGCATAACTGGATATCAATCTGCAGAAAAAATGAAACAAGACACATACATCACACCTTGCACAAAAACTAACTCAAAATGGATCACAAACCTAAATATAAAATCGAAAATGATAAAGATCATGGAAGAAAAAATAAGGACAACACTAGGAGCCCTAATACATGGCATAAACAGAATACAAAACATTACTAACAATGCACAAATATCAGAAGAGAAACTAGGTAACTGGGAGCTCCTAAAAGTCAAACACTTATGCTCATCAAAAGACTTCACCAAAAGAATAAAAAGACAACCTAAAGACTGGGAAAACATTTTTGGCTATGACATATTCGATCAGGCTCTAATCTCTAAAATGTACAAGATACTGCAAAACTTCAACAACAAAAACAAATAACCCAATTAAAAAATGGGCAAAGGATATGAACAGACACTTCACCAAAGAAGACATTCAGGCAGCTAACAGTATATGAGGAGATGCTCATCATCATTAGCCATTAGAGAAATGCAAATTAAAACTATAACGAAGGGTGGGGCCAAGATGGCAGAGTAGTCAGATGCTTCTGGTGGACCCTCTTACAACAAAGACCCAAAAAAACAAGTGATTTGATTATATATGGCAATCTGGGAGCCCTGAACATCAAAGGCAGAGTTGAGGAACCAGACTGAGTGCCTGGGGGAGGGACAAATGGTTCAGAAGCAGCGAGGAGTTGCCAGACCTGACCCAGTGAGAGCCTGAGCCCTTCAGACCTGAGCAGCTTGTGGGTGAGCAGTGAGCCAGGCAAGCAGCAGTGCTCCAGAGGTACATTTAATGCACCGGGAGAGACCCAGTGCCAATGAGTCTACACAGCCACCCAGAACCAGTGAGAAGCAGCCCTCACTGGCGAAAGATAAGTACTTGCGTATGGATTACCATGTGATGAAAAACACCCCCCTTAGCCAACTGGACCTCATAGACATATATAGAACAATCCATCCAACCGCAGCAAAGTACACATTCTTTTCCAA